GCATTTTAAAGATTGTTTGATTGATTATATTTATTCATTTAAGAGCGAGAGAGGGAGAGCACGCGAGTGGGGAGGGGCAGAGGGAGAGAGAGAATCTCAAGCAGACTCCACGCCAAGCACAGAGCCCAATGTGGGGCTCGATCTTTTTTATTTTATTTTATTTTATTTTATTATTATGTTATGTTAATCACCATACATTACATCATTAGTTTTGATGTAGTGTTCCATGATTCATTGTCTGCATATAACACCCAGTGCTCCATGCAGAACGTGCCCTCCTTAATACCCATCACCAGGCTAACCCATCCCCCCACCCCCCTCCCCTCTAGAACCCTCAGTTGATAGACATTGCGGGGCTCGAGCTTATGACCCCGAGATTACAACCTGAGCTGAAACCAAGAGTCAGATGCTCAACTAACAGAGCCACATAGGCGCCCCTACACCGTGCGTTTTATATTTCTTATCTCTTTTAACCATGAACACTACCCTGTGAGGGCGGTCCCCTTTCTGCTGCAGGGGAATGAAGTCCTTAGTGCCCAGGTCCCTCAGCTCGCAGGTGGTTTGACAACAAAGACCTACAGAGATGTCCTTCTGTTCGTCCCAACCCCCGTGCTCCTGGTAAAGCACTTGCAGTTTACCCAACCGGCAGCCACAAGGTTTTCTTGTGCAAGTTAATCAATGAATCAATGAATCAATGAATGAAGGAAGAAGTGGTCAGGTGTTGGAGTTTCATCTTCAGCAGTCACAAATTACCACAAACTTGGTGGCTTAAGACAACCCAAGTGCATTGTGTAACGGTTCTGGAGGTCATAGTCCCCAAGAAAAATCAGCATGTCAGCTCTAGGGGACACTCGGTTTCCTTGCCTTTTCCAGCTCCTTGAGACTGCCCCTCTCCCTGGCTTCTGGCCCCTCCTCCCTCTTCGAAGCTGATGATCCCGTTCCTCCCACTCCTGCTTTCTCCTCACCTCTCCTTCTGATCCCACTTGTCTTCTGCCTCCCTCCTCCCACTATTAAAGACCCTTGTTAGTCATCTCTCTATGGTCAAGGTCAGCTGACAAGCAACCTTGTTTCTCTAATCCAGCATTAGTCAGAGGTTCTGGGGATTAGGATGTGGACATCTTCGGGGGACCATTTTGCATGCCACAAGAAGCATCCTTAAAGATGTCAAATCTACTGTGTCTGTGTCAGCAGAGAACTCATTTTTTTCTGAGTCTGTGGAACATTGTTTGGTTCATTGGACATTTAACCATGCATGCTCTGCCCAGAGCATCTCTTGTGCTTCCCTCTTGCTTTGTGACCCAGGACGCTCTGCACGTGTGATGTTCAGTAAGTACTTGGCGGAGAAAATGAAAGATGAGATGTATGAGCTGTTATTTAAAACTAGACTAATTGGGTTTTGTCTAAAGGACACAGGAGCTGGTCTGACCTAAGATGGAAAAATCTGAGCATCGAAAGGAATAATGACTGCATTTGATTGAAACCCACCAAATCTATAAAAATCTGTAATTTCATAGTGATACTGTGCAGAGGCAGGGAATGTTCCTAGGTTCAGCTAAATAAACACTTGGACTCAGAAGACTCCCATAAGCCCCACTTGACCCCGTGTACGCACACGGCTGGAGGGCAGGAACATGGCTTGCTGGGAGGACGTCAGGCATTCTTCCATGGGTGTCCTTGCCCCAGGTCACACTGCACATGGTTTTTCCCCACGTGACGCAGCTCTGCTGCAAGGAGCTATAATCCACATCAGGCAGTGTGAGAGCCTTCCCGTCTTAAAAGCTTCTTCCCCCATGGGTGCCAGAATCTCTTGTAACAGCTCATAGGCAGAGCATCCAGGGTCCCCACAAGGGACACACCCAGTTCCCAGAGTCACTTCACTCTTCCCTGTTAGATATCCATGGTTTGCTTACAGGTCCTCCCATCCTGATGTGATCTACCAATCAGGTGTCATCGTCCCCCTAAGCCGTGTTGCCTGGTAACATATTTGATGTTCTTCCCCTTACCGGTTTTCCGGGTAAACGTGATCCAGAGCTCAGACTCTCAGGGACTTGACCAAAGTTTTATCAACCTTTTCCTCTCATACCAAACTAAACCAAACCAACAACAACAAAATAATAGACCCAAACACATTCGTCACTTCCAATGGGAAGTTCCTATGACAACCAACTGTCATGAGCAAAGGATCAAACATCCATTCTGTCTACACACTTTATGTCAGAGTAATTGGATTGTTGAAGAATCTCAGCTTTAAGAATGTGGAAGGGATAGAATTAGAAAATGTGTATTTTTCAAACCCTAATGAAATCATGGATCTAAGTGACAGTTACATGTGGACACCATTAGGTGAAAGTGGATAGATTTTACACTGCCCGGATCATGTTGGCCCCACTTTAGTCTACGGATCCCTCTTAGTAGTGACCCACCGTCTGACCTGATAGGAAGCACATGGTATTTTGGAAAGCACTTACAGGGTATTTTGGAAAGCAAATTAAGTCTGATTCTAATCAAGACATAAGGTCCAACTAGTACTTTACAGGAAATACACAGGCTAGGGGAACAGTGACACCCCATGGAAAGAATCCACCAAACCAGGATGTGGGGCTTTCTGCAGGGTAAATAATCCGGCTTCCCCACCAGATCAATGGTGTAAAAGAAAAACAGGGTAGGGGGGCAGAATAAAATGGACTTAACTGACATTGGGGGGATCTTGTTTGGTTCTTGAATGAAACTTCCCACTGTAAAAATCATTTTGACACACTTGAAATAGCTTGAATAATGACTGATACTAATTATTGGAGTTACTGTTAATATTTTAAATATGATTGATAATATATTTGATATGATCATGACATCAAGGTTAGGTAAAACAGATACATGTGTAGATATGCATATGCACGTGCTTATATGACATATATCCTTGACAGTTAAAGATGCACACTGAGGCATTTACAAGTAAAATGGAAAACATGAGATTTGCTTTAAAATGCTCAAGCACCGGGGTCTTGGGATCGAGCCCCGCATCGGGCTCCCTGCTCAGGGGGGAGCCTGCTTCTCCCTCTCCCTCTGCCTGCCGCTCCCCCTGCTTGTGCTCGCTCTCTCTCTCTGTCAAATAAAATCTTTTTAAAAATGCTCAAACAAACATTAAGAGAGTAACTAAAATGAGTTTGGTAACTGGTGACAATTTTTGAGGTTGGGGTAGCAAGTACATTGGGAGTCATACTCTTCTCTCTACTTTTAAATGGTTGACAATCTCTATAATAATGTTTTCTTTTTTTAAATAATTTTATTATGTTATGTTAGTCACCATACAATACATCATTGGTATAATAATGTTTTCTTAAGACCCTTATCTTTTTACAATAAGATGCCACTTTCTCTCATCACATTATCGAAGATTTTTAAGCATTGTAGAGGGAGGTGTGAAATAAGGATCCTACTGCTTTGCTGGGGGAGTTTTGTTGGAAAGCAGTTTGGCAGGGTGTTCTAGGAGGCTTTGAAACGTTGCTCACATTTGATTCAGTAACTTCACTGTGGATCTCGTACTGAGAATATCATTGTGAATAGCAAAAACTCTTCACAAAGATATTTGCTGCAGGATTATTTTAGGTTTTGAGTTTCTCAAGTAACCCAAATGTGCAACACTAGAAAAATGGCTTAAATGAATCATAGTACATCACAAGGTGAACCATTTTGCAACCATTGTAAAGGAAACTCTTGCAGTTTTTTTTTGTTTTTTTTTTTTAGGATTTTTTATTTATTTGAGAGAGTGAGTGCACGTGAGAGACAGAACAGGATCGGGGGGAGGAGAAGAGGGAGAGGGAGAAGCAGACTCCCCGCTGAGCAGGGAGCCCGATGCAGGGCTTGATCCCAGGACCCTGGGATCATGACCTGAGCAGAAGGCAGATGCTTCACTGACTGAGCCACCCAGGCGCCCAACATTTACAGTTTTTAAACACCCCCGGAAGATGCCTGTTACAATGCTAATTGAAAAGAAAAGGACAAAATTGTCCTTGTATCTGTGTAAATGCTGTGCATCCATGGAAAAGCGTAGGCACAGAAAAAAAAATTATTGGAAACAAATGCAACCAAATTCCTTCATTGGTTTTGTTGAAATGTTGGCCTTACAGTGAATGAAGTCGTCTTCTCTTTGTCTTTATTTTCCATGTTTTTAAAATCATGAACATAAATTAATTTTTTCTGTACATCATTTTATACCTCTATAGAGGTATAATTAGCATATTATAAAATTCACCCACATTAAGAGTATAGTCTGATTCGTTACTATAAAACATACAGTCATGCAACCACCACCGCAGCCAAGTTCTAGAACCTGGGACCCTGTGCAGCATCTCGTTGATATTTCTTGAATACACTTTATTTTTAGAGCAGTTTCAGATTTACAGAAAAACTGAGAAGCTAGTGCAGAGTGTTCCCACGTACTCTGTACTCAGTTTCCCCTGTTGTTCACCTGTTACATGACAGTGGCACACTTACTACCATCAGTGAACCAACGTTGGTACATTAGGATTAATCAAAGCCCAGCCTTCATTCAGATTTCCTTAGTTTTTCTAATGTCCTTTTTCTGTTCCAGGATCCAGGGTACCATATTACGTTTAGTTGTTATATCCATTAGTTAATTTTTAATTAGAAAAAAGTTAAATAAATTGTAGTTTAAAATTCTCCAAATATGTTAACTATCCATTTCTCCCTTGGCCTCCTCATTGTTGCTGTCACTTGTTGACAAAGACCAGGCCTTGTATTAGTTCTGTTCCTTACAGTTTCCAGCGTGGCACCCTGCAAATTGAATAAAGTAGAATCTGTGGATTTAGTTGCTGGCCATTAGTAAGTGGCTGGAGCAGGAGAGGGAGGAAGCGGAGGAGGGAAAAGGGAAAAAGAAAGTCCTTACCTACAAATGATTTAAAACCTCAGAGCTCTGAGGGGCCTTTGGTTTCTGCTGTGACTTCGTGTAGTGGCATCCTCTTGGCTTTTGTGTCTCCCAGGTTGGAGATCGCAACCCTGAATCGGGCGGACTCAGACCTGGAGGCTTGTCGAACCCAAATCAGCAGAGACATCATTGCCCTTCTGCTGAAGAGCTTGACCAGCGCTGGCCACCTCTCCCCCCAAGTAGAAAGGAGGATGGGTGCGGTTTTCAAACAGCAGTTTCTATTGCTGGAGAAAGAAATTCAAGAGGAATATGATCGGAAGATGGTGGCCTTGACGGCGGAATGTGACCTGGAAACAAGAAAGAAGATGGAAAACCAGTACCAGAGGGAGATGGTGGCGATGGAGGAAGCGGAAGAGTTGCTGAAACGTGTCAGTGAGAGGGTAAGGCAGCCTCAAAAGGAGGGCTTCACTCGCCTCTCTGCTCCCTCTCAGGGATTCGTCATTTATCCATCCATCTGCCCATCCTTCCACCCATTCACCCACCCACCAATCCTCCCCACCCATCTATCCATTCACCTGTCCATTCACCCATTCATCAGTCCACCCACCACTCTTCCATCCATCTGTCCATCCACCCACCCACCACCCTTCCATCCACCTGTCCATCTATACATCCATCCGTCTATCCCTCTACCTACCATTCTTCTGTCCATCCACCCATCCATCCATCCATCCATCCATCTACCTACCACTCTTCCACCCGCCCATCCAACCATCCATTTGTCCATCCACCTATCCATTCGCCCATCCATCTAGCCATTCACTCACCCACCACTCTTCCATCCACTCATCCATCTATCCATCTGCCTACCACTCTTCCATCTACTTGTCCACCTACAGTCCATCTATCCATCTACCCACCCACCACCTTTCTGTCCACCTGTCCATCTATACATCTATCCATCTATCCCTTCCCTACCATCCGTCTGTTCACCTGTACATCCACCCATCCATCTGTCCATCCATCCATCCATCTGTCCATCCACCCATCTACCTACACTCTTCCATCCACCCATCCACCCACCCATCTATCCACCCACCTGCTATCCTTCCATTTACTTGTCCATCTACAGTCCATTCATCCATCCATCTACCTACCACTCTTCCACCCACCCATCCATCTGTCCTTCCACCTGTCCATTCACCCATCCATTCAGCCATCCACTCACCTACTACTCTTCCATCCACCTGTCCATCTATACATCCATCCATTCATCTACCTACCACTCTTCCATCCACCCATCCACCCACCCATCCATCCATCCATCCACCTACTCACTACCCTTCCACCTACCTGTCCATTCACCCACCCACCCACCCACCACTTTTCCATCCATCTGTCCATCTATACAGCCACTCATCCATCTACCTACCTCCCTTCTATCCACCCGTCCACCCATTCATCCATCCATCCACCTACCACCCTTCCATGTACTTGTCCATCTACAGTCCATCCATCCACCCACCCACCACCCTTCCATCCACCTGTCCATCTCTACATCTATCCATCCATCCCTCTACCTATCATCCTTCTGTTCACCTGTCCATCTACCCATGCACCCATCCATCTATCCATCCACCTGTCCAGTCTACCTATCCATTCAGCTATCCATCTATCCATTCACCCACCCACCACTCTTCCATCCACCTGTCCGTCTATACATCCACCCATCCATCTACCTACCATCCTTCCATCCATTCATCTATCCATCCATCCATTCATCCACCTACCACCCTTCAGTGTACTTGTCCATCTACAGTGCATCCATTCATCCACCCACCCACCACCCTTCCATCCACCTGTCCATCTCTACATCTATCCATCCATCCCTCTACCTATCATCCTTTTGTTCATCTGTCCATCCACCCATCTGTCTACCCACCCACTATCCTTTCTTCTACTTGTCCATCCAACCATCCAGAATTTATTTAGAAAGCCTTTATTGATCACTTACTGCCTCTTGGTCACTGGGCTAGGCAGTGAAGTACAGAGGAAATGAGACATGGTTCTTGGGTTCAAGAAGTTCATAGTTTAATGGAGGATCTTCACATATAGAAGATGTGACCTCATTCAACTATATTAGAATAGAGATATATTCACAGTGCCATGGGACATCATGGGGAGAGTAGAAAGGCTTCATTCATGGAAGAGTGCACCACAGAGAGCATGGCTCAGGGAGGTTGTGATGTCAGTGTGTGTGTGTGTGTGTGTGTGTGTGTGTGTCCATCTGGGCTGCACTGTGCTAGATCGTGGAGCCCTCCCACACCAGCTCCACCATCAGATAAACCTGGACTCCCATTCCAGTATATTCCAGTTCTGCTCCTGAAGGCTGTAATTAGCCTGACTCTGAAACAAGGCTGAGGGCGCCCCCTCTGGGGTGGCTGGGAGAGGTCGTGCAGGAAAAGCAGCCACCCGGGGCATGGGCTGCTCCAGGCTCAGTGCACAGTGCTCTGCTCTGAGAGTTCTGACCTCTCAGCCTTCCTAGGGCTGGCCTCTGTTGATCAGAGATCAAGCCTGATTTTTCTAAGAGATGTGTCCATTTCTGTCTTGAGGGAATCGTGCCAGAGTTTTTTCCTGAGTGTATCAAATCAAGCCTGATTTCTGTCTTCCTCTGTGAGAGCTGGCTTGTTCAGTCCCTGTGGCTTGAGCCCACATTTCCTGGTCTGGAAATCTGTCATCCTGGGGAGGTCTAACACCTGCATAGGAACAGGCTTCTGAACTGTTAACTTCCGTTCCCCAGACTGCTGGCCGCGCACAGAGATCCCCTGGCAGTGGACACACAGGGCTGACGGCTCGTGGCTCTCAGCAGGTCATCTGTCGTCAGCCCGCACACACGCACGCTGGGCAGTGACACAAAGAGGCAAGATTCGTGCTGTCTCAGCCCCACCTGCCCCCTTGTATCCCGGCCCCCTCACCTTAATATGCCTCCTGTTTTCTGCTTGGCTCCCATATGAGTTTCTGTGGGCGCTGTAACAAATGACCACAGATTTAGTGGCTCAAAGCAACAGATTTTGATTTTTTCATAATTCTGGTGGCTGGAAGTCCTAAATCAAGATGTCTGCCAGGCATGCCCCTCTGAAGTCTCTAGGGAAGCATCCTTTCTTGTCTGTCTCAACTTCTGGTGGCTTCAGATGTTCCTTGGCTGGTGGCCACATCACTCCTGTCTTGATTTCTTGTCTTCGCACGGCCATCTTCCGTCCTGGGACTGTCACCTATTCTGTCTCTTTTAAGGATGCTTGTCTTTGGAGTTAGGGCCCACCCAAATAAGCCAGGATGGTCTCCTAAGAGCCTTAACTTGATTACATATGTAAAGATTCTCATTCCAAATAGAGCCACATTCACAGGTTCTGGGTTAGGATGTGGTTGTCCCACCCATGTGTCCTCGGGCAGGTGACCTTCTCCGAATCTGTTTGGCAGGGAGCGGGGGTCAGGGGAGGCACTCTTCTTGCCAACAGAGTTCTGCTGGCTGACCCCACTCTCTGACCTCCCTCCGTGACTACACTGGCTGGTCCACACCGAGTCTCCCTGAGCTGGGCACTTCAGAAACCATGCCGAGCTCACAGAGCCGTGATTCAGCCCCTAAACCATCTCATGATATCTCGTTCTCTTCTCTCTTAAATTTGTTATAGCTTTTGTTCCCATGGACACAGTGCCTACTTGGAAAGTGTCAGAAAACAGGAGTCAGCAAACTAGACCCATGAGCCCAGGCTAACCCGTGGGTGGAGAATGGTTTTTACGTTTTTGAAGGATTGTAAAAAATCAAAGCAAAACAAAACAAGTAGAGGAATGTGTAACAGCAAACCTTAGGTGGCCTACAAGCCTTAAAATATTTATCTGGCCCTTTACAGAAAACTTTGTCAACTCCAGCTCCAAAATAGAAAAAGAAAAACCTTGGAAAAAAAATATGTGGAACCCATGTCACCATCCAAGGCAGACAGACATTCATTTGGTCTGGTTTTGGAGCTCCTACTATGCCCCTGACCCTGGAGATACAGGGATGCTAAGGCTGTCCCCACTCCTGTCTTTGGATTTCAGCATACATTTTGACCTTTTGCTTTATACAATTTTTTTTTAACAAATTCAGGTGTATGCAGTTCATAGGATTATATGTGTTGCTCGTTCTCACTTAATATCATGGTATAAACATATTCTGATTGTATTAAGTGCTGTCACACTTAACGTTCACTGTGTGCAGGCATTGTTCTAAGCACATCATGCAGACCTTCTCATCAGATCTTCACACCGCCTCAGGGAGGTGGGAATTGATAGGATCCCACTTTTCCAGCTGAGGAAACAGATTTGGAGAAGGTCACCTGCCCGAGGACACATGGGTGGGACCAAGATGCGGACCCAGGCAGGACGCGCCGACCCCGTCCCTGCCCGCCCGCGTGGTGCAATGGAGCCTCAGATACCCTTGCTGTCATGGGCCAGGTTAACCCATCCGGCTGGGCTTCTACATTTAGCGACCAAAAGGCTGCCTGGAACAATGTAGTTGTTTTTTTTTTTAAAGATTTATTTATTTATTTGAGAGAGCGAGAATGAGAGAGAGCACATGAGAGGGGGGAGGGTCAGAGGCAGAAGCAGGCTCCCTGCCGAGCAGGGAGCCTGATGCGGGACTTGATCCAGGGACTTCAGGATCATGACCTGAGCCGAAGGCAGTCGCTCAACCAACTGAGCCACCCAGGCGCCCTGGAACAATGTAGTTTTAAGTGTTTCCCCAATATTGGCACAGATCAGTAGGGCCGAGAGGAGGGATGGCGGGACAGAGTGCTCCCGATTCCCTCTGCACCTGCCCCCACTCCCCAGTCTGCTGGCTTGCAGTGGGAGGCCGCCATCGTGCTGGGGCCTGTGGGTCACCCCGTTCAGAGACCAGTTGCCTTATCTGAGTCAGTGTGCTTCCAAAAATAGCATCCGAACGGCGAAAGTCGATAGAGCTATTTCTCTTCCAGGCCATGCAAGCCACTCCATCTTACAAAACTGCTGATGACCTTATAACTTATCTGTACATTTATCATAGTCATCTTTAAATAAAATGCACAGAAATATATTGGACATATTACTCCAGCAAGCATTCGATTTTTTTTAAAAAAAAGCAGAATTGGGTTTTTGAGTAGCGTTTAGGAATTCCAGTAATTAGAGACGAGATCTGTTCACATTTAAACGCCTGTGTCGTCTCGTAGAGTTTTTAAAGCCAGTCTCCACTGAGAGGCCTTGGGGGGAGTGGTAGTGACTACAGACCGTGCAGAGACAGCTTGGGTTCAGATCCTCACTCTGTTCTTGCAGAAGGTGCATTGCTCGGTCTTCCTGGGTCTCAGTTTCCCCATCCTGCAATTGGGGATACAATTTTTACAATTTGCCCATCTTGTTAGACTGAGTACAGGGAGTATAATTTGGTACAGACACGATTTTCTGCCACAGTCTCACATTTTTGATGGTGCAGAGTCAACATTATGAATGGCAAGTTGCTCTGGAACAGCCTGGCCCAGACCTCTGATTCTCAAACCAAAATTGAAGTGCCCTCTCCCGGTCCATGTTCCCCTTGACTCTCTCCACAGGGTAGGTTACTTTTTAGGGAGAGCTGAAAACCATAGGATAAACATGCCTCATTTCCCTGCAAAGTCCATTGCGGTGGAAAGTTCAATGGAGAGTTGGGGTCAGTGACCATGACTTCAACATATGTTTAAAAATGCATGTTTGTTGCCATTATATAAAGTATAAAACTTCGTATAAAACTGCAGGCTTCCAGCTTCTTGTGAAACACAGGGAGATGTGCTGCCCTGCGTCCAAATTCCTTCAGAGCCCCCTTCGGTGGGCTGAGTGGTGACTGGCCCTGTAGGCAGGCCTTGTTCTCCACTTTGCCCCATTCCCCACCACTCCCTAGTGTCTCTCATACCAGAACCGTTCACTCACTTCCATCTAGGAGCTGCCCTTGGTGGTTGTTGGGGGGGCGCCCCCCTGCTTTATGGTGTAGCCTTCTCATCAATTCTCCCAGAAGATTGAACTAGGTCAGGGGGTGAACCTATTTCTGCAGGTCTCTGGACCCCTCAGGAGGCCAGTGTAGATGGAAGTGAGGGTGGCTCCCATCATAAATTCATTTTAGGGAGTATTTCACCATGACACAAGCATATCATTGCCTCATGCCTCATTCTTCAGAAATATAATTCCAAACAAGGACAGATAACTTTATCTTAGGATTTCTGTGTGTGCGCATGCACATTTTGTCCTGGCTGTGAGAAGCTATATGGATTTCCTCCCATCTTTCATTCCTATTAATTCAAATAAATTGAAGTTTGCAGCTTGTCATATTTCATACTGTCAGTTGAGAAGGTCACTTTGATGAATGAATCAGCCTCACAGGGCGTTGGCCCCTCCCTGGGCAACAGAACGTCCCTGCAGTCCCAGAGTCAGGGGCCCGGCCCCCTCCTGGCTGTGGCTGAACCACATTCTGTAATGCAGATAAAAGCTGTGAACAACCACTTCTCTCCAGATGATCGACTCACGAAAGCCTTATCCAACCCTTTTTAGAAAATCAGCTTTGAAAAAAGGCCGTGTTGTTTTCTGGTGGCCGAGGCAAACTGTTAATACTGGGGAGGTCCCTGGGGCTGTGGGCAGGAGGGAGTCCTGGGCCTTGGGGCCTGAGGCTGCGCTGCATCCCAAGGGCAGGGATTCTCATGTGCTGGCTGCTGTGCTTTTGGGGGTTCCTATAAAAGTAACACTCTTCTTCCTGGACCAGATTCTGAACAAATTGAAAGGTGAGGCAAAGGAGCTGGAAAGTTAGAAATGCATCTATCACCTTTGTAGGGCTTTTGTGAGCGATTGGAGGTAGAGGTGGTAGGTCTGGGCAGGCGGCGACGTGGGTCCCTGACAACACTGTCAGTGGCCGTATGGTGCTCTGGTCCCTGATTAGCTGGAGGAGGTTCTGCCCTCACCACCCTCTGCCTTTCCTGGGTCCCCACTTAACCTACACAGCCACCACCCCACCCCCTTCTGCCACTGAGACCATGATCTCTTGACCTTGACCCCTGGGATTGCTGTGCCCTCTGCCTCAGGGACATGAGCACCTTCCCCTGACTTTGCTTCATCAACATGTCCAACGTCTGTGCTACTCCAGAATGTGGAGCCTGAAGATCTGTTTTCATCTCTTCTCCTCTCTTGGCACTGCTGGGAGCTGAGGAAGGACCCACAGCTCCCCGGAGCTTATGTTTCTTCACCTGTGAAGTGGACTGTGTTCATTTTCTGTGGCTGCGTCCCAAATCGCCACGCATTTAGCGACTTAAAAATAACACCCCCTTGCCATCTGTTTCTGTGGCCAGGAGTCTGGACACAGCTTAGCAGGGTTCTCCGCAGGATCTCAGAGCCCTGCAATCTGGGCCTCAGTTGGGCTGTCTGGCACTCGGGGCCCTGGTCTCAGCTCATCCAGTCATGTGCAGAATTCATCTCCTTGCAGTGGGGACTGAGGCCCTCGGCCCTGTGGGCTTCCCTTCTCTGTAGACTGTTCACAGGAGGCTGCTTGCTTCTTCAAGGCCAGCAGGAGAGTGTCTCTGTTCAGGAAGGCCCAGTTCTTCCTTAAGTCAGACCCGCCCAGGATCATTTCCCCTCTGGGTTAACTTAAGTCAACTGATTAGGGACCTCAATTACATCATCAAGACCTCTTCACTTTCGGCATGTAATAACCAGATCATGGGGTGCCAGTCTGGTCGCATTCAGAGCTTTTGTCCACACTCAACAGGGGAGGATTTATACGATGTGGACACCACGGGCCAGGTATCTGTGGGCCATCCTAGAATTCTGCCTCCCCACATGGAATTAACTTCACTCCCCTCTTGGGGCACGAGCCTTGTGCTTGCAGGAGTGTGAAGGCACCAGGAACTCAGTGCAGGCTTGTCTCCTCCTTCCTGCCTTCATACCGAGCACACGAAGCACAGACATCCAGTAGCCATTTCTTAACGACTCTGCCTCCTTTCTCACCCAAATCATCTCAACTTTGGCCTGATTGCTGGTGTTTTTCTCTTCAACTAAGTTAAGAGCGAAAGACGGCAGAAATAAGCGGGAGAGTCTAACAGCACAATCCATTAATGTTTCCATTTTACAGGCTATTTTTAGGCAGTTTGATTTGCAAATTTCCGTCCCTGTGAATTTTCTGCTTTGAGACTATTCTGGAAAACATTAAGAGAACAGCAAAGGACAGGTTGCAGCAGTATTTTCCAGAGCTTAGTGGCTTTATCATTGCCAGCTTGGGACATGTGTGTGCCTGGGTGCACACCTGTGTGTGTTCCACATGAGTGCACACGCGTGTGCTTGTGTGTTTCCTGTGTTGCCGTGCATATGTGTGCATGTACTGTGTGCTGCTGTGTGTGTATGTGCTGTGTGTGCACATGTGTGTGTGCTATGCATTGCTGTGTGCATGTGTGAATGCATGTGCACATGTACATGAAGGTGTATGCCTGTGTTGCCATGTGCATGTATATTTGCTGTGTGCACGTGTGTGTACGCTTGTACCCATATACATGTGCATGTGTGTATGCACTCTTGTGTTGCTGTGTACATGTATATTTGCCGTGGGCATTATGCATGTGCACTATGTTCATGCATGTGTATGCATGTGCATATGTGTGCATGCACTGTGTGCTGCTGTGTGTATGTGCTGTGTGTGTGCACATGTGTGATGCACTGTGCATTGCTGTGTGCATGCATGTGTATGCACTGTGTGTTGCTGTGTGCATGTGCATGTATGTGCCTGTATACAGGTGCATGTGTGTATGCACTGTGTTGCTGCGTACACGTATATTTGCTGTGTGCATGTGCACTATGTTCATGCATGTGTGTACATGTCCACATATGTGTATGCATTGTGTTGCTGTGTACACCTATACTTGCTGTGTGCATGCGCACTATGTTCATGCATGTGCGTACATGTGCACATATGTGCATGCACTGTGTCGCTGTGTGCACGTATATTTGCTGTGTGCATGCGCACTATGTTCATGCATGTGTGTACATGTGCACATATGTGCATGCACTGTGTTGTGGTGTGCATGTATATTGCTGTGTGTGCATGTATGTGTGCATGCATGTGCCTATGTACATGTGCATGTGTGTATGCACTGTGTTGCTGCGTACATGAATATTTGCTGTGTGCATGTGCACTGTGTTCATGCATGTGTGTACATGTACACATATGTGTATGCATTGTGTTGCTGCGTACACATATACTTGCTGTGTGCATGCGCACTATGCCCATGCATGTGTGTACATGTGCACATATGTGCATGCACTGTGTTGCGGTGTGCATGTATGTGTGCATGCATGTGCCTATATACATGTGCATGTGTGTATGCACTGTGTTGCCATGTGCATGTATACTTGCTGTGTGCGTGTGTGTTCATGCATGCATGTGCCTGTGTGCCTGTGCACACAGGAGCATGTATGTGTGTGCACATATGTGTATGCACTGTGTGTTGCTGTGTGCACATACACGTGTGCCTGTGTGCGTGCACTTGCATATGGCCTGGGCGTGCCCATGCGTGCCTGTTGGTGTGTCATCTCACGTGCCGCCCCCTCTTCCTGCAGTCTGCTGCGGAGTGTAGCAGTCTCCTGAGGACCCTCCACGGCCTGGAGCAGGTGCACTTGAGGAGATCTCTGGCTCTGCAGCAAGAGGAGGACTTTGCCAAGGCTCACCGGCAGCTGGCCATTTTCCAGAGAAATGAACTGCACAATATCTTCTTCACCCAGATAAAAAGTGCTATTTTCCAAGGGGAACTGAAGCCAGAGGCAGCTAAAATGCTGCTGCAGGATTACGCTGACATACAGGTGAGGCCTCAGATCAGACTCGCAGCGGTGGGAGCTTGACTTCCCTGAACCGTGTCGGTGATTTCTCCTCTCCCGGAGTCAGTCCCATCTCTTCTCTTGGCTGTGTACTGTGAACTCACCACCTTTTCCTTCTGCCTCTCGATGTGTGGATGAGTTTCCAATAAATGGGGCCATTAGTAGCTTGAAGCCCAGGCCCGGGACTCAGGCTGACTTGGATTTGATTTCCAGTTCCACCAGCCATCAGCTCTGTGACTTCAGGCAAACTGCCTGACTTCCCTGAGCCCCAGGTTCCTCACCTGTAAAATGCGGGAAATAGAGCCAATTCCCGGAAAGCCTGTGCGTGGCACGATATATGCTGAATACACATAGCAGTGAACAACATATAAATATACATGTGCCTGTATGTGTGTGCACGGGCACGCACATCAGTGTATACCCGGGGTTTGCAATCTGTGTCTGGGTATGCCTGGCTGACTCTGTGTGTGTTCTTCCGAGTCAGCCTGAGTGTGAACGTTATTGATCCAAATGGAACAAATTCCTTAACGATAGCCAAAATAGTTGATCCGAGGCCATCACCATTGCTGTGGGATTTCTCAGGCCCGTGTGGGGTATTTTACACGCACGTGTACACACCCAGCGTGAAATCACTGGTGTGCAATCCTGCAGCAGATCTCTGGTCCTGGCGAGGAGCAGAGCCGCACCAGAGGAGACCAAGCGACCATCCCCAAAAGGCTCCCGAACATGAGTCCTGCGGGACGAGAGGGCCACTCTCGGGAGGCACGGAGCATGAAGGGAACAAGGCAGCTTCTCCATTTTACTCTAGGTTTTTCCCACTCAAACCTCAGTGAGAGGGACTAGAGTAAGAATTCAGTTCTATTCCCAGGTAGGCATCCAGACCTCAAGGCATCATGTAGGTATTGATGGATTTTGCTGTCATTTTTCTCCTCGTGGTGGGTAGTGGCTGACTCTCAACCCTGGGGCCTTCGAGCTAGAGTGTGTGATCGTTAGTCATAATGGAGTCAAGAAGGAGACTTCCATGGGTGATAATGGTAGCAGGACACAGGCTTCTTTGACCCCAACTGCTGGAGTAGTGGGAGATGGCAGCTATGCGTTTCTTTATGTAACGGGGACAAGTTGGCGGTTCCCATGGACCCAGTTTCGTGGCGAATAGGAATATTGCCTCCGTATTCCTGTTATATGGATTCTGCTGCCAGTAAGTCAGGGAGATACCGGTATTCAGCCACATCTGACCGACCATTCTGCTTTTCACTGTCTGGACAGTGCACGTTCCCAGGCGTCAAGAACTGGAGATATCACTGCTTTGGTTAGAGAGGAGACTGTCCTTGGCATCATATGTATCTTGTTGAAAAGATACATCGATCTTTTTGGTGACCTATTGCAGGGACACTATTTCCACAGATGGGAAAAGACAGCAGAGCCAATCAGGGGGATGATACCACTTAGCCAATCAGGGGGATGATACTGCCGGTCTGATTACCACTGGTCAGCTGCATTTTGGAGGAGCCTACTATGATGTTAGTGCACAGGCCCTGGGATTAGATTACTGAGTTCAAATCCCTGCTTAACCATTTACCAGCAGTGCGATGTGGACTCAGTTTCCTCATCTGTGAAATGGGAATAATAGTACTCTTTCTCTAGACTAAGTTAAATAAGGCGAGAAACACTCTGAGCCCAGTGTCGGGCCCAGAGAAGACACCCGGTGTCAAGTAGGTTATCGATGTCTTGTGTTTGGTTGGGGTTTGTCATCTTGTCTCCCGTCTCCTCCACGAGCATGGAAGTTCTGAAGGTCATGGCTGATGGCTGATTTATCCCAGCACGTCAGCATCTGTGCTGGTCCTGTGTTTCAAGAACCCCACGGGCGAAGGCTGAGTGCCTGAGTGAAATTTGCATCCCCTTCCCTAGGGCAATAATGTTGTTTTGACAACTCCTAACTCTCTGGGTCTAGAATGCACTTTTCCAAGCTCTCGTTCCTTACCAGTATGTCATTTTCTTCTAAGCCTTTGTTAAGAGCAGGGCAGTTTAAGGTGTTAATCCCCATGCTTCTATTCCTGTGTGTGTTCTTCGGAAGGAAATGTAATACTTTATAGGTCTAGGAAGAATATGCTCTAAGTTTTAATTAGGCATATTTTCTTGATTTTCTTTTAAACAGGAGAAATTAGAAGAGTTAATGGATTTTTTCCAGGCTAGTAAGAGATACCATCTAAGTAAAAGATTTGGCCATAGGGAGTACCTGGTTCAGAACATGCAGTCATCAGAGACCCGTGTACAAGGCCTTCTGAGCGCTGCTGATGCTCAGCTCACCCTGTTCATCCAGAAACATGAGAGGTAAGACCCGGAAGCCATCCCAGATGATGCACAGGAACCACCTTGCCCTGCTGTCTTCATCAGTGGTCAGTGAATGCACTGGGGGCGCCTTACTCATTCCTTACGATGAATTCTCTAGTTTTAAGAATCCTTTGCATCATAGAATTTCTAAAACCTTCATGATAGTTGGGACAGCCATACAATGAACCTTCCGTGTGCCCATCATTCAACTTCAGTGGCCAACCTTGATGTCGCTCTACAGCCCCACCCGGAGTCATCTGTTTTTTTAATTTTTATAAATATTTTATTTATTTATTTGACAGAGCAAGAGAGCACAAGCAGGGTGAGCAGCAAAGAGAGAGGGAGAAACAGGCTCCCCGCTGAGCAGGGAGCCCGATGTGGGGCTCGATCCCAGGACCCTGGGATCATATGAAGGAAGAAGTGGTCAGGTGTTGGAGTTTCATCTTCAGCAGTCACAAATTACCACAAACTTGGTGGCTTAAGACAACCCAAGTGCATTGTGTAACGGTTCTGGAGGTCATAGTCCCCAAGAAAAATCAGCATGTCAGCTCTAGGGGACACTCGGTTTCCTTGCCTTTTCCAGCTCCTTGAGACTGCCCCTCTCCCTGGCTTCTGGCCCCTCCTCCCTCTTCGAAGCTGATGATCCCGTTCCTCCCACTCCTGCTTTCTCCTCACCTCTCCTTCTGATCCCACTTGTCTTCTGCCTCCCTCCTCCCACTATTAAAGACCCTTGTTAGTCATCTCTCTATGGTCAAGGTCAGCTGACAAGCAACCTTGTTTCTCTAATCCAGCATTAGTCAGAGGTTCTGGGGATTAGGATGTGGACATCTTCGGGGGACCATTTTGCATGCCACAAGAAGCATCCTTAAAGATGTCAAATCTACTGTGTCTGTGTCAGCAGAGAACTCATTTTTTTCTGAGTCTGTGGAACATTGTTTGGTTCATTGGACATTTAACCATGCATGCTCTGCCCAGAGCATCTCTTGTGCTTCCCTCTTGCTTTGTGACCCAGGACGCTCTGCACGTGTGATGTTCAGTAAGTACTTGGCGGAGAAAATGAAAGATGAGATGTATGAGCTGTTATTTAAAACTAGACTAATTGGGTTTTGTCTAAAGGACACAGGAGCTGGTCTGACCTAAGATGGAAAAATCTGAGCATCGAAAGGAATAATGACTGCATTTGATTGAAACCCACCAAATCTATAAAAATCTGTAATTTCATAGTGATACTGTGCAGAGGCAGGGAATGTTCCTAGGTTCAGCTAAATAAACACTTGGACTCAGAAGACTCCCATAAGCCCCACTTGACCCCGTGTACGCACACGGCTGGAGGGCAGGAACATGGCTTGCTGGGAGGACGTCAGGCATTCTTCCATGGGTGTCCTTGCCCCAGGTCACACTGCACATGGTTTTTCCCCACGTGACGCAGCTCTGCTGCAAGGAGCTATAATCCACATCAGGCAGTGTGAGAGCCTTCCCGTCTTAAAAGCTTCTTCCCCCATGGGTGCCAGAATCTCTTGTAACAGCTCATAGGCAGAGCATCCAGGGTCCCCACAAGGGACACACCCAGTTCCCAGAGTCACTTCACTCTTCCCTGTTAGATATCCATGGTTTGCTTACAGGTCCTCCCATCCTGATGTGATCTACCAATCAGGTGTCATCGTCCCCCTAAGCCGTGTTGCCTGGTAACATATTTGATGTTCTTCCCCTTACCGGTTTTCCGGGTAAACGTGATCCAGAGCTCAGACTCTCAGGGACTTGACCAAAGTTTTATCAACCTTTTCCTCTCATACCAAACTAAACCAAACCAACAACAACAAAATAATAGACCCAAACACATTCGTCACTTCCAATGGGAAGTTCCTATGACAACCAACTGTCATGAGCAAAGGATCAAACATCCATTCTGTCTACACACTTTATGTCAGAGTAATTGGATTGTTGAAGAATCTCAGCTTTAAGAATGTGGAAGGGATAGAATTAGAAAATGTGTATTTTTCAAACCCTAATGAAATCATGGATCTAAGTGACAGTTACATGTGGACACCATTAGGTGAAAGTGGATAGATTTTACACTGCCCGGATCATGTTGGCCCCACTTTAGTCTACGGATCCCTCTTAGTAGTGACCCACCGTCTGACCTGATAGGAAGCACATGGTATTTTGGAAAGCACTTACAGGGTATTTTGGAAAGCAAATTAAGTCTGATTCTAATCAAGACATAAGGTCCAACTAGTACTTTACAGGAAATACACAGGCTAGGGGAACAGTGACACCCCATGGAAAGAATCCACCAAACCAGGATGTGGGGCTTTCTGCAGGGTAAATAATCCGGCTTCCCCACCAGATCAATGGTGTAAAAGAAAAACAGGGTAGGGGGGCAGAATAAAATGGACTTAACTGACATTGGGGGGATCTTGTTTGGTTCTTGAATGAAACTTCCCACTGTAAAAATCATTTTGACACACTTGAAATAGCTTGAATAATGACTGATACTAATTATTGGAGTTACTGTTAATATTTTAAATATGATTGATAATATATTTGATATGATCATGACATCAAGGTTAGGTAAAACAGATACATGTGTAGATATGCATATGCACGTGCTTATATGACATATATCCTTGACAGTTAAAGATGCACACTGAGGCATTTACAAGTAAAATGGAAAACATGAGATTTGCTTTAAAATGCTCAAGCACCGGGGTCTTGGGATCGAGCCCCCGCATCGGGCTCCCTGCTCAGGGGGGAGCCTGCTTCTCCCTCTCCCTCTGCCTGCCGCTCCCCCTGCTTGTGCTCGCTCTCTCTCTCTGTCAAATAAAATCTTTTTAAAAATGCTCAAACATTAAGAGAGTAACTAAAATGAGTTTGGTAACTGGTGACAATTTTTGAGGTTGGGGTAGCAAGTACATTGGGAGTCATACTCTTCTCTCTACTTTTAAATGGTTGACAATCTCTATAATAATGTTTTCTTTTTTTAAATAATTTTATTATGTTATGTTAGTCACCATACAATACATCATTGGTATAATAATGTTTTCTTAAGACCCTTATCTTTTTACAATAAGATGCCACTTTCTCTCATCACATTATCGAAGATTTTTAAGCATTGTAGAGGGAGGTGTGAAATAAGGATCCTACTGCTTTGCTGGGGGAGTTTTGTTGGAAAGCAGTTTGGCAGGGTGTTCTAGGAGGCTTTGAAACGTTGCTCACATTTGATTCAGTAACTTCACTGTGGATCTCGTACTGAGAATATCATTGTGAATAGCAAAAACTCTTCACAAAGATATTTGCTGCAGGATTATTTTAGGTTTTGAGTTTCTCAAGTAACCCAAATGTGCAACACTAGAAAAATGGCTTAAATGAATCATAGTACATCACAAGGTGAACCATTTTGCAACCATTGTAAAGGAAACTCTTGCAG